AGAAGAAGGCAGAAGAAGGAAGAAGAAGGAAGAAGAAGAAGGAAGAAGGAGAAGGCAGAAGAAGGAAGGAGAAGGCAGAAGAAGGAGAAGTACAAGAACAAGAAGAAGAAGAAGAAGAAGAAGAAGAAGAAGAAGAAGAAGAAGAAGAAGAAGAAGAAGGAGAGGAGGAGGACGAGGAGGAGGAGGAAGGAGGAGGAGGCAGAAGGAGGCAGAAGAAGAAGGGAGAAAAAGAAGGAAGAAGAAGAAAGAGGAAGGAGGAAGAAGGAGAAAGGAGGAAGAAGGAGGAAGGAGGCCGAAGGAGGCGGAAGGAGGAGGAAGAAGAAGAAGAAGAAGAAGAAGAAGAAGAAGAAGAAGAAGACGAAGAAGACGAAGAAGATGAAGGAGGAGGAGGAGGAGGAGGAGGAGGAGGAGGAGGAGAGGGAGGAAGAAGAAGGAGGCAGAAGGTGGCAGAAGAAGGAGGAAGAAGAGGGAAGGAGGAGGAAGGAGGAAGCAGAAGGAGGCAGAAGAAGGAGGAAGAAGGAGGAAGAAGAAGAAGGAAGAAGAAGAAGAAGAAGAAGAAGAAGAAGAAGAAGAAGAAGAAGAAGAAGAAGAAGAAGAAGAAGAAGAAGAACCGGCAACACATTAGGTGAAGGACAAATGTTCAATCTGTGACTCATTTCGGTTGTTGCTTGTCTTGCCAGATTGGGGTGCTGAACATCTTGAAGTTTCGTGAAAAGAACTGGAGATTCGACATTGTTGGAGGGTTCGGTTATTATCTGGTTGTCTTCTCATTGTTTCCGCAGGTGAGATTGAGCTCCTTGTGCTCTCTTTTGTGAGGAGGAGGTGATTTCCTGTAAAATTATAAACAACTCGGGTGGATACTGGTTGAAAGCTTGGCACTTAATCTCGCTGCTGTTTGGATTCAGTAAAATTGAGATCAATGATAACAAGCTGCTGCTCAAAGATGCCAAAAAGGAGATTGAAAAGGGTGGGGCTTGGCGCATGACCGGTTTGCTGCGAACAAAAACTCAGATAGAACTAAGAAAAGCAGAACTGATTGCACTTCTCGGGGCTCCCTGAAAGCAGAGGGACTTATGGAAAGTAGATCTGAATGAGCTTATTGATCTTAACAGCGCTGTCAAAACAGTCAATCAGCAAAGAGGCAGGCAGATCATTTGTGGCCTGCTTACCAGTGTGTTTAAAAAGAAATTTGGTGTTAATCCTCAATCTAATGTGTCTATTAAGATTCCCTTTAACACAACTGTAAATAAGCAGAAGTTTGGAAACGAAGTGAAAGCATGGATTTTGAAGAATGTCCGACCGGTGGTGCTGGCGGATCTGTATGTGAAAAGGACCCGGGCAGTCTGGCTGAAAGCCAAATCAGTCGGGGACCTCTTGCATAATCAGAAGTCATCTGCACATTGCAGTAATTTTGACTGCATGTGCGAGGACTTTGACCTGCCCAAAATTAATGGGCATGTTGCGGTCAAGATCAGCAATATTGAGGGGATAAATTATTTTGTCTTTAATGCAAAAAAATCCCATTTCCTGCCAAATTCCTGGAATGATGAATACCAGGACAGTACTTGATCATGCTTGTAACGAGGCTGTAGACTGTCTGAGTAATATGGGACTAGCTCAAGGTGACTCTCCTTTTTTCTCTATATAACTAAAAGATACAACGGTCCCGATGTCACACGCAGTCGCGGGCCCACGAAAAACTGCGGGACGGGCAGGGCCAGCCACGGCGCGCCGAGACGAGACGGCGCAGGGGGGAAAAGAGGAAAAACTGCAGGATGGACGGGGCCAGCCATGACGCGAAACGGCGCAGGGGGAAAAAGGGCAGGGTCTGTCGCGGGGGCGGGGGCCGTATTTGCCACGACGATGGTGGTGGTAGGCGGGGGTGTGGTGCCGCAGGGGAATGAGGACGGTGTCGGTTGGGGGCGTGTCGATTCGTGCGGCAGGGCGAGCGGGACACTAGCGGGCAGAGGGCCGGCACCGAGAATCGAGCGGCGCAGACTGCCCTGCGCAAACTGCCGGCGGGTGAGGGCGCGGCCCACGGGACGAGAGGGAGGAGGAAAAGGGGACGAGCAGGAGGAGCAGCGGGAGGAGGAGGAGGAAGAGCGGGAGGAGCAGCAGGAGGGCGAGCGGGAGAAGGGCAATCCACCATGTGTTGTTGTCAAGCGGTGTGGAAGGGAGGACGCGTGCGCGCGCGTGCGAGAGAGAGAGAGAGAGAGAGAGAGAGAGAGAGAGAGAGAGAGAGAGAGAGAGAGAGAGAGAGAGAGAGAGAGAGTTTT